CCTGCTAGCCCCGCCTATTTCTCTCTCCTGCACAGCCATTGGCCCTTCAGTTGTTTATGAGACCAATCAGGTGATTTAGACAGTCACAGTAACACAGCTTCACAGAGTTAGACAAATGTAACACATCTTCAACTAATATTCCACAACAAACAACAAATACACGTATTGGGTGGCTACTGTGTGTTTGGCACACTTTGTAATGCCTTATTTTCATCCAACCAATGTTATGTATTGAGGGCTTGGCACTGTCTTAGGAGCTGAGGCCATGGAAGTCTCTTCCTCGGGGAGGGCGGTATAAACAAACCTGGGCTAAGAGTAATGGCAAATGCCTTTAACCAAACAGAGCAGGGCGAGTGAACCGAGACAGGGGGCCAAGTTTTCGACAGGCCCTGTGACTGTTCTGCAAGCGAGAAACCACCCTCCCTCCCTAACAGATAAGGAAAAAAAAAGATTGGAGAGAGAAGTCCAGGTCTGTTATCCAACCTCAAGTCACCTCCAATGCATTTTGGGGTCACCCAGGGGCTTGTCATTTGCAGTGCCCAGCCTTTTGTTTTATTGTTCATTCTGAGCCCTATTGTATCACAAGGCAAGACGGAAGCAGAGCCCATGTGATTCCCAGAGCAAAGAACCAGGTTTGAACTCTGGGCACAAGGATTCTGTTCCAGGGGTGGGGGTGAGGTTCATGGAACTCCCCCATCCAAGGCCAGGATAGATGCTGAGTGTTGAGTGTGTGCACATTCGTGTGTGTGTGTGTGTGTGTGGGGGGGTGCATTGTGTTTGTGTGTGTACACATGTGTCTGTATGTGTGTGAAGGGCAGATGACAGTCTTGGGTGCCATGCACCTTGTGTTTCAAGATGTGGTGTCTCACTTTTTACCTGGAACACCAATTCAGCTAGGCTAGCTGGCTAGTGACCCCGGCCATCCTCCCATCCCTTCCATTCCAGTACTGAGACTACAAGCACATGCCACCATGACTGGCTTTTTCAGGTGGGTTCTGGAGTTCAAACTCAGGTCTTTGCATTTGCCCAGCAGGCACTAAGCCCATCTCTTCAGCCTGCTGACTGCTTTTGAAGGCTCCGTGGGGTCAGATTCCCTGAGGACTGGCTATCCACGCTTGAGTCTGAAAGCTGGCCTTGTCCCCACAAGCCTGGCGTGACCTATGGCTGTTCTGGCCACCCACGAGGGTTGCAGCCTGAGCAGACAGAAGTCCAAAAGTCAAGAGGCCAGGCTTGACCCCTGGGGAGGAGAGCTGGCTCCTGTGGAGAGAGCTTCCCTGGGCCGGGAGGAAGTCAGCTCAGGCCTGGCCAGGCAGGGAAGCGGCTCAAGGGTAGGCCCAAGCCCTGGGTTCCTTGGCGTCTACAGCTGCTCCTGGGACCACCCCATGAGATAGTGCTACTGAGCCCCCCCCCCCCAACAGAGACCCACAAGGAGCCAGGACTGGGGAAGGGGGGGCTTTTCTCAGCAGGATTTTTGGGTGTATGTGTGTGTGAGTGTTCAACAAGGAGGGGCCTGCTCCACTTCTGAGCCTGGAATTTATACAGCCCCTCGTTGGCAGCTGTGGTTTATCTTGAGTGAAAGAATAATAAACTTGTTTGACAGGATGATGTATTCACCATCACAGTGCAGAGCACTGCCTGCTGTCAGGATGTCTGGTGTGGTGGGGACCGTCTTATCAAGTGTTTGGCCCCCGAGTATTGTCAACAACATGTTGTTTGCGGGCTTGGGGTAAGGCAGAGATGGGCCTGGTTGGGGGAGACGGAGGGGAATTTGGCCATACCGAGAAAGGATGACCATCCAGATGGAGTCAGAGAGGATTCTGCCTCTGATGGAAGGAAGCCCAGGCACAATTTGGGCCCAGCCCCCTTCTGCCGGTCCATAGCCCACTTCTGCCTGGGAGAGAATCTGCTCCTCGGACCTCCACACTTCTGTAGGGACAGATGTGGGCCACACAGAGTTCCACAGGATCCCCCATTCTCTACCTCCCTTATCTTCCTTAGCAGAGCAAAGAAATTAGCGCGAAACTATAAAACTCGGCGGGCGCTGTGTGGGAAGGTGTGGATCGCTTGCCGAGCATGAGAGAGCCTTGGCCTCCATCCCCAGTAACACCACAGAAATAAGTGAACACATAAATCAATAAACTATGATAAATAAACTAGCTGAGCCTAGGCCGAGTGAGGGGCAGTCACTGAAGCCTGGCTCCAACCCCACCCCCAACACCTCTGCTGGGCAAACTTTGGCCATTCCCATGGTCACTTAGAGCTCCGTTTCCTCTCATACAAAGTGACTTGACTATGCTCGCCACCTCGGGTATCAGCTAACTGACTGGCCACAGAGCCAGGTGAACACTTGGAAAACCTACAAGAAGGCGAGCTCAAAGGACCTCCCCCACCCGAGTCTCCCTGAGCTTCAGTCGCCAGAGCATGCTTTCCTCTCCATCTGCCCGGGACCGAGAGGTTCTCTTGCCCAACTCTGAGCCCTCTTGTTTCATCCTGAACTCTGTTCCCCCTTGCAAATCTTCCATTTCAATATTCTCCCAAGCCACCTCCTCTTCTGGCTCCGTGGTCCCGATTTTTTCCCTCTTAAGCTAAGGCCCCCTGCAAAACCAACTCCGGGACTCCTCCTGTTTGGTGATTGAGATCTCCGGTCCTTCTGCTAAAAAGCAGGGCAGTGCTCCTAGAAACTGCTGGTGACAGCCGGTGGGACCGTAGGGATGGCGGCAAGGGGAGAGGGAAAGGCCGCCCTGTCCACAGAAGACTGACCAAGCAGTTGGCTCCACTTCAGGACTCAGAATAGAACCTCACAGCGTCTCCTTTTATCTCCCATTTTGCAGATTCAGACACTGAGGCTGGAGAAGGCTCAGGATCAAGTGGCCTCCCAAGTTGTACTTGACCTCCCAGCTGCAAAAAAGACAAAAAGAACCCCACCCAGAGCTCTCAGGAGCCAAGGCCTCCTGGAGCAAGCAAGGGAGCCTGGGAAGGGACTGAGGCCAGGCATCTGGCAAGGAACACAGGTCCGAACACAGATGTGAGTGAGCTGGGGTACCTGGGCTGGGGACAGGAGTGCCCCGCAGCAGACAACGGGTTCCCGCAGGCCCGGCTCCTCATTCACTTCTTCATCTGCCCCCCCCCCTTCCTTCCTTCTGTTGTCTGTCTAGGAGCCAAGCCCTCTGGAGTCCAGCATCATCATTATCCTCCTGATCTTCCTCTTTCCTTCCTGGGCCTGAAGTGCCTGCTGTGTGCCAGGCCCTGGGCCCACCATTGTCCACGTCCCCATGGTCCCTGGAGGCGGCAGAAGTGGGCAGACACCTGGTGGTGTGTGTTCACAGAGTCAGTCCACATCCCAAAGTTTTCCACAGTAGGTGCCAGGACCACAGAGATGACCAAGCCATGCTCTGCCTGCAGCCGGTTCAGGCTAGCTGAGGACATGAGTGGGAACTCTTACGTCCAGCCCCAGACAGCTGTGAGAATGGTGAACAGGAAGCAGAGGGAGAGTGCTGTGGGTCCCCGGAGGGAAACGGCTGTGCCTTTGAATGTGTGTTTAGTCATTCGCTTATTTCATCGGTTGTCTGTTATTGAGCATCTGTGGCCTGGGCGGTGCTGGGAATAGCCAGAGGACTATGGGAAAGGCAGGCTTTCCAATGGGCAGACCACTCTTCGAACCCTTTTCGAGGACAGGCTGAGCTTGTGGTAGAGGCTGCAGGTGTGGGGGCTGGGCAGCAGCAGATGTGGGAAGTCTGTAGTGGTTAGGAGGTGCGGGCATGTTAGGTTGTAGACTGGATCAGGTAGATGGGAGCCTGCAGTGGGAGGCTGGCATCTGAGTTATTCTGTGTTCCGGTTCTACCCAGGGTCAGACCACTGCAGGCAAAGATAGAATGGAAGGGTTGGGTCTCAGAAACAGCAGGAGGACCTATACTCTATCCAAGGACATACGCGTGGAACTTTGGAAATGATTCTTTAGAACAGAGGGCTTCATTGTGAAGACTTTCTGGAACCGTGACTTCCACATCTGCCCCACCCTGGGGTAGATTTACATGTCTATTTACATGTGTTTGCATAAAGTATGATCTGATCCATATTCATTTCAGGCATTTTGATTTATGTCACTTCCCTCCTTCCCCACGAATTTCGCTTCTTCTTCTGGAAAGGCAGTCCCCATGGGATCCACATCCAGCTTAAGAATCTCCCATTGTGCCTCTGTGGCATTGCCTGGTGGTGGCTGGCCATTGTTTTCCTGATTGTTGATCTGCTCACCTCTCTCGGCTCTGCGTAAATTGGCGTGAGGGAGCTCGGCGTCCCTGAAGACTCATCATCCTGGACGCTTTCACTGGCCAGAATGAGAGCCGCCTGGGGACTGTCAGCGGGAGAGCAGCTAATGGAGTGATGAGTGAACGTCGCCTGCAAGTCTAGGGGCCATCCCATGTGGGTTGCTTTTGCTGACCAGAGAGTTGGGGGCCTGGACAAGGCTGGGCTTGGGACTCCTTCCAGGGCCTGACTCCAGCCGCTAAGCCTGCGGCCGCACATCTCATAGGCGCCCTCTATGCTTACAAGTAGTCGCAGGAACGGAGGCAGGCCTTGCAGGAATGCTCGATACTGTGCCGCCTTAGGCAAATGCTCCCTTCTCCATCGGCTCCGAGTCCCTCAATTTCTCCTTCTCTGCCACCAGGGTCTTTTCAGTGGTGGCGTTTGCAAATGCATGTTGACAACCTAAGCTCACCATCTGGTTCCCAGAGATGACCTTCTTGTCAGAGAAACAGAGCAGCTACCCTGCCATGGCGAACACATGTTCTCCTTCCTCTCCTCTGGGCCCTGGCAACTTCCACAAGGGATTCCTGCTTATTTGATGCTGGTCAGGACTGTGAGCATGTGCTGGGGTTGGGGAGCAGCCCCCCCTCAGTCCATGACCAGCAAGAGTCACCCGGTGGGAGTGACAGGGAGCCAGTGGCATTTCAAAGCCTCTCACCTGGCCAGCCCTGACTCCTGGCTGAAAAGTTCTGGGTCCTGCCCTCCTCCCATATCCCCTCCACACACAGGCCCTGCTCTGTGGGAGACATCTCAGTTTATCATCCACAGGTCCTTACTAAATGAGGTGGCTTGAGCATCCCTTATCCAAGGAAAATGGTTTATCTCCCATGGTCACTCACTCGCCAGATTCCAGAGAGCCATTCGACAGGCCTCACCCAGCATCTTGCTTCTCCTGCCCAGACTTCATGGGAAAAACGGACCCCAGTGGTCCTCCCTGTTAGTCAGACAGGGATGGAGGGGGATGCATATCTGGAAATTGTGTGGGCTCTGGGATGCCAGCCCACGGTCTATTACCTGACAGCTTCCCACATATTCTCATCCCTGTGGATACAGATCCCAGGGTCCACTCTGCATACTGCTGCACCAGCTCCAAGAGCAAAACGATATTGCCGTCTGTGGTGTGTTTATCTTCTTTCTACCTCCGACTGGGGCTCCTTGAAGAAGGGTTGTGTCTCCTGCAGCCTGGGGATCCTGAAGACAAGCCATATTGCCCTGACACTTGGGTTCCCTGAGGACCTAGCATGTCCTCCTCGACTGGATCTCCTGAGGATGTGTCGGTTGGGCTCTGAGGAAGAGCGGGCAGGATGACCTTGGGGATCATTAAGTCACAAATCTTCCGTAGATTCTAGGTTACCAGCCCAGGGTAACACCTTGATGAAGGGGGGGGGGGGCTTTCCTACCCTTGTGCATGCGCACACACACACTCACACACATACACACTTAATCTGAAGGACAAGTTCAGAAAGGTAAAATTTAGAAGGAAGGAAAGGAGAAAGAGGGGGATGGGGATGGAAGGAAAGGGGTGACCGGGGATAGAGGAAGAAGGAAAGGCTCTGGGGAGGAGGAGCTGGAAAGAACAGGAAGAAAGAGAAGAGAGAGAGGAAGCTCACAGTCCCTTCTCTTTTAAGCTCCTGGAGGATAGCTTATTTGTTTAAAATCCCCTTATCTCCAGCACTTGTCTCCTCACCGGCTGAGGGGCCTGTGCGAGAGGCTGGCTCCTCTCCCAGTAACAAACACCGGGCTCCATAAACAGCCCACAAGCCACAGGGCCCGGCCCCTGCCTTTCCCGCCAGTCTGCATCCACCGGACAGCCCTCCTCTGATGTGACTCTTGTGATGGACCAGTGGACTCGGTCATCCATGCTCCGTTGAGGCCCCAGCTGCTCGGTCGGTCTGCTCCTCCCGTCTTCTCCCACCCTGTGCCCACCTCAGGCCTGGCACAGCTTCCCCCTCAGGGGCCTCACCCTGGAGAGGCCTCCCAGCCTTGACCTCAGCCATTCTCCCCTACCCTACCCTGTGGGGCTTTTCCCTAAGGGCTGCCTCCTTCTAGAAGCTTCCCCTGATGCGTCCTCTCCTCTCCACTTCACTCCTTCACTCGTTCATTCTTTCAACACATGCTTTTGAGGCCCTGAGATGCACCAGGCGTAAGAGATAAAGGGCTTTGGAGTCTCAGAGACCAGTGGAGGAAACAGAATGTCAACAGTCAATTAAAGCCTTTTAGGGTGAGCTTCAGTTTCCTATCCGCTGGCCAGCCCACGGCAATAACGTCTAACGACCTCTGAGGGTTTACTGTGTGCCAGGCACTATTCTGACTGTTTTACGTGGCATATCTCATCTAACCCTCGGAACAGCTCTCCTGGGTAGGGCTATTATCCTACTTCACAGAGGACAGGGCCAGGCACCAAGGTCTGAAGTAACTCGCCTGAGGTCTCAGCTGATGAAAGCCGGCCTTGAGAAGAAACCCTTAGAGTGTGGGCCAGAGGCTGAACTCTTAAGCCCAAAGCTGCCTCCCTTCAGCCTGGAGTCTGGGATATTTCTCCACACACCCTCTGCTCCTTACTCTGTGATGACCCTTGGCCAGTCCTGCCGCCAACCCAGAGCTGAGTCAGCCATTTCTGAGGGAGGTGGTGTGGATTCTGGCACAGCATCCCCAGTTCACCTAAGTAGACGGCTGCCCAGGGCCTGTCTTTGTGGCCACCGGTGTCTCCCAGACTCCAGCAGGTGGCCGAAGTCTCTTCAGCAGCATCATGGAATGGCCCGGAGCTGGGTTCTTTGAGCTCTTCGCTCTCTGACCAGGAGGAGGGCAAGGTGTAAGAGCCGCCTGAGTGACAGAGGCAGAGATCCCGGGGCAAGGGGTCAACTGTAATGACCACACACCGTGGAGAGCCACTGATCCCTGCAGCCTCTCTAGACCCCTTGGAGGAAGTCTGTCTCCAGTCAGGCAAGCCCCCTGCCAGGAGGCCTCAGGCCTCATTTTCTTTGAGGTCCAGTGAAGATGGTGAGGTCTTGACCTCATCTCAGTGGTTACGTGGTGGTTTATGTGCTGGAAGGTCATTATGCTCACCCTAAGAAAAGAGGAGCCCACTGAACACACAACAAGAGAGGATCTAGAAACAAAAGCAGTCCGTTTGCACACTCAGTGTGTACCAGCATTGCACACTCAGTGTACACCAGCATTGCACACTCAGTGTGTGCCAGCATTGCACACTCAGTATGTGCCAGCTTTGCACAGTCAGTATGTACCAGCATTGCATACTCAGTGTGTACCCAGCATTGCACACTCAGTGTGTACCAGCATTGCACACTCAGTGTGTACCAGCTTTATACAGTCAGTGTGTACCAGCATTGCACACTCAGTGTGTACCCAGCATTGCACACTCAGTGTGTACCAGCATTGCACACTCAGTGTGTACCCAGCATTGCACACTCAGTGTATACCAGCATTGCACACTCAGTGTGTGCCAGCATTGCACACTCAGTATGTGCCAGCATTGCACACTCAGTGTGTACCCAGCATTGCACACTCAGTGTGTGCCAGCATTGCACACTCAGTGTGCACCAGCACCTGCTTTGTACCTGGGCTGGCTGGGGTGTACAGTGTTATGGCATGGCCCCCACCTTCCCGAAGGCTACACATCGGGTTGTAGCTGGTAGTGCTTTATGTTTCAAAGTACAAGAGAGGAAAGGAAAGCCAGGATGGGGTGGCCTGTCCCTAGACCAAGCCATCTCATTCCCCACAAAGGCAGGGCCAGGTGACCAAGTCTGTGTCCAAGATCTGAAGGCCCTGCTGCCCTTACTTCTTGGTTCAGGGCGGGAGGACTGAGCCGCAGTCTGCACCAAGCCTGTGTTAAAACACCACTACGGAGCCAGCCTCAGATTAGCCATGGAGGGAGGCACCTTCAGTTCTGAAGAGGCCAGGCCTGGCTTGTGCCTGACTGGTCACCCAGCAAGAACCTTAGCTTTGGCAAGATATGCCCCTTGGTCATGCATCCAGGAATTCACTGGGCGTGTGAGGGCTGGGACAGGGTAGAGGGTGCTTCACCTCTCAGAGCTCAGGAACTTCCCACACTGGCCTGGAGTCTCCTCGGTTGCAGGTGGGAAAAGAGGGATCTTTCCAGAGTCAGGTCAGAGCTGTCTCCTCCTTTGTCCCCTTGTCCAACAGCCTATGAGGAAGGGTCAGAGCAGGGAGGAGCAGCCATTGTCCAGGGGGAGGCCGCCTAAGGCTGGTACCTCCCTACCTCCCTGGCCCTGAGGCTCTAAGAAGCCCCTGAGCTCAGGACCCTCTCATAGGCCTGAAATCCTGAGCACAGACTGTGTGTGTGTGTGTGTGTGTGTGTGTGTGTGTGTGTGTGTGTGTGTACATACCCCTACAGGCTTGTGAATGTTGAGATCCTTGGAACTGGGGAACTGGGCCTCTTCTTTCCAAAACCACAAGGCCGCTGGCTAGCCTCAAGCTTTGGTTTCCTCAAGGCCCAGAAGCTAATGAGAGCCAGCCCCACTCTGGACTTGGGTGGCCCAGTGCAGCAACCAGCTGGCCTGAGGGATGTCCTTTTCCAGGGGCCCAGGTGACCTACATTCCCCCACCCTACCTTTCACGCCTTTATGTGTGTGTGTGTGTGTGTGTGTGTGTGTGTGTGTGTGTGGTATTGTGTGTGTGCAAGTGTGTAAGAGTGCACACGTGTGTGCTGTCCAAGGTTGACACTGGGTATCTTTCCTCAATAGCTATCTACATTTATTTTGAAATAGGGCGTCTCTCACTTAACTGGAATATCAC